GAAGAACCCCAAGCATATAAGACCAGTTGTGCTGAGCTGAGTATCCAAGGATCAGATTTCAGTGAATACTGAGGCGTGGATGTGATTTTTAGGGCTGAATACTGAAGAGGAAAGTACATGCAGAGAAAAAGCCCCAGAAACTACCACAGGGATTCCCTTGAGTCTTTGGCTAAATACTCTGTTTAGGGTTAGACTCATGAGACTAGATAAAAGACAACTATCAGAGAATGAGAAACTACTGGTGACCAGTAAGCTGGGCAAAACTAAAGCTAACACAGGGCTCATAGGTGCTCAAAGTTCAACTTACCAGACTAGAAGGCTATGCTGTATTCATTATGGACCCTGGGAGAATCACATCATATTACACCTTAGAAGTAAAAATAAACTAGGTCTAGGATGGACCACCTTAACAAACCTTAAACTCAAGTTTTGAAAGGATGAAGTTGATCATTCAGTAAATTAACTGCTTGCCAAAAACAAATTTTAATATTCTTTAAAGTAAGACAATAAAATCTAGACACTTTCAAAATCTAAGAACATAAAATGCACAATGTCCAGCATCGGATCCAAAAGTATGTAATCATCTTGATAAAGAAAAAAAAAACATATTTGATACACTTCAAAATCCACTCTTGACACAAATAGGAACAGAAGCAATCTTTCTCAACATGATAAAGGGTATTTATAGAAGCCTACAGCTAAAACCATCCTTATTAATGATAAACCAAATACTTTCTATTAAAGAATGCGAACAAAACAAGAATTCAGTTGTCTCTTTCATTTAACATTATACTCGAGGTCTTATCCAGTGTAATAAGGCGATAGAAGAAATAAAAGGAATTTAGATTGGAAAGGGACAAGTAAAACTCTCTTTCTCCCATATTTACTATCATAGACTACACCATAACCCTGAAAATATCAACCAAGAAGAACCAACAGCAGGGTGTAGTCTATTAACTTACTAGCTTTTAAAGAGTAAAGAAAAATCCTTTTCGTCATATATATATAGATAAAATGAACAATATTAAATTATAGTATTTAGAATGTATCCTGGTAGAATATAACTATAAACAAAGACAAGATAGTGGTTACCATTAAAGGTACACTACCGGTTAATTCTGGAGGGAGAGAGGAGAGATTGGATGAAACAATGGAGGGGCTTCTGAGATGGTTGACAAAGTTCTATTTCTTTAAAAAAAAAATTTAATGTTTATTTACTTTTGACAGAGAGTGAGAGAGACAGAGAATGAGTGGGGGAGGGGCAGAGAGAGAGGGTGACACAGAATCCGAAGCAGGCTCCAGGCTCTGAGCTGTCAGCACAGAGCCCGACGCGGGGCTCGAACTCACAAACCACAAGACGATGACCTGAGCCGAAGTCGGACGCTCAACCGACTGAGCCACCCAGGTGCCCCGACAAAGTTTTATTTCTTGACCTGGCCGGTGAGAACAAGAATATTTATCTTATAATAATTCACTAAAATATGCATTTATTTGTGTGGTTTTATGTATCTGGGTTTTCTTTCATAATAAAAATGTAAAAAAAAAAGTGAAGCCAAATACAACAAAAATGTGCTTGTATTTTATTGATATTTTAAAAAGCAGAATGGATTTGGATCCATTATAGGTACCAAATATGGGGAATTTTATATCTTGAACCCAAACTGTTTTATGTATTATCTCTAAATGATAATGTGTGATGTCTTAATTAATTAATTGATTTTTTAAAAATGTTTATTTAGAGAGAGAGAGAGAGAGAGAGAGAGAGAGAGAATGCAAGCAGAGGAGGGGCAGAGAGAGAGAGGGAGACACAGAATCTGAAACAGGCTCCAAGCTGTCAGCACAGAGGCCAACACGGGGCTTGAACTCACAAACCGTGAGATCATGACCTGAGCCAAAGTTGGATATTTAACCAACTGAGCCACCCAGGCGCCCCAGTATGTGATGTTTTAACTACATTCATTCAACAATCACTTGATGAATATTGAGTATCTGAGGTGCAGATAGAATGATGAATGAGCATATTAAATATGCTTGTCCTCGTAAATAAAGACATGCAAATTAAAACCATACAAGACATTAAGTGCAGCAGGGCAGTACATATTAGAGAGTTATAATAGCAACTACATGCTTGAGGACACCTCAGAAAATTTACACTGATAAAATGATAGTTGAAGTGTATATTAAAGAAGAGGAACTTTCTGGGAAGATAAGGGAGCAATATTCTACACGAATGTGGTTTGAAATATCATGTGGTGCTTTTGGAAAACACAAAACATACATATAGTTGGAACACACAGTGTGTAGCCTGCCAGGGGAGAAGACGCAGCCAGTGAGAAAAATTACAGTGACAAAGGATCTTGTGTACTATGCTAAGCAGTTCTGGAACTATCCAGAAGAGAGAGAATTTCTAAAGGATTTGAGAGTCAGATAATCGTTACTGTAACAATAACACCAGTATGAAAAATGGGCTGGGTGGCCATTCGGAGGTCTACACCCGGTGGCAGCAGGCAGGGTGGAGAGGAAGATGATTTTGTTTTGTTTTGTTTTGTTTTTACCTAGGGCTTAGCAATAAGTACACTGTGGACTTAGAAGAGCTAAGACTGGTACAGTCTGAATTTTTAGTTTCCATAGTGGAGATGAAGTTTGGAAGATACAGTACGTTTGGATGAAGTCTCTGTGCTACTACACAGGCACTAATACCAGAGACTTGTAAAAAGCATGACAAAGATAATGAATACCCTTTTTAAAAAAAAAAAAATGTACCATCTTTCAGAAAGAAAGCAAAAATGCTGGTCTCTTCGAGGTGTGTTTATATTTTGGTAGAACATGTATAATAGAAATAATTAAAATACTCTAGCTTGCATCTATAACAAAGAATGAATTCAGCAGTTCCCTGATTTCTACAGTAACAGGGTCTCCAAATAATGTCACATGCCTCAAAGAACTTGACAATCCAGGGGAATAATGTTACAATACAGCATGATATCGGAGATAAGGAGTTCTCAGGACTTTCAAATTAATAGAACTAGAACATAAATCCATCGGACATTTATTAAAATACACTTTCCAAAGTATACTTTCCTTTGTAAACTCTTCTCTGGTTTCCTGCCATCAAACTATCTTAATTCTCACATTACTTCATTTATGTACATTAACATTTGCCATATTTTATTCCAGTTATTGGTGTTCATGGCTAGTTCTTTTATAAAGGCAAATATTATATAATTAAATGTCTGTGTGTGTGTATATATCATATACATGTAAATATATAATTATATAATCATCATCATCATCATCATCATCATCATAATAAACAGCGCCTAAAATATATAAAGCTTTTATTCTGTGACAAATATTTTTTGGAGCCACTTATTTATTTAATAGTCATGAGAACCCTATGAAAAGGTACCAATGTTAACAACTTCATTTTATAGATGAGGAAACTGAGCTATAGCAAGGTTGAAGATCCTTCCCCAGATCACACAGGGAATTACCATTTAAACATAGTCCTGATCCAGAACATCTGCATTTAACCACTATTGTATTCTCTCTCATGGTCCATGATCTCCCACAACACTTCAGAGAGTACCAGATGCACAGGGGAAATAAACAAACATTTAATTAATAATTGAGCCATTAGCAGAGGATAGAAATTGTGGAGTCTGTCCTCGCCAGGGGGAAAGATTATAGCAGCCTGGAAGCCCTAGGTTTCTAGCTCTCAGCCATCTCCTGGGGACATCTGATATTTGAAGTAGGGATTTGCAGACCAAAGCTTCAAATCTCACCTGTCCCCCAGGGGAGCAATGAGAATAGGAATAAGAAACTGGCAAGGAAAGTTGGAAAAAGATGCTGTTCTCCATTAGCTTGACTGTAGCAGGATTCTCGCACAGAGGGATGGGATACCAAGGCCTTTCTTTCCAAGAAGTAGCTTTATTCGTGCTAGCACAGGCTCAGCAGGTTAAGACCCAAAGGTTGAACCCTGAGCGCAACGAGGTGTAGCACTTTATGCAATTTCTACTGCTTTGTCTCCCATGTATGGTGACACATACAGTCTGATTGGACACAGTCCAAGTTACAGAGTCATGTCAGAGCTATGCATACGTGTATAGAAGTTGACTGGGCCACGTTGCCTTCCTTTGTTCTGAGAAGGCCCCCACCACATTCCTTAGGGAAGGGCTCTACCTCTACCACATGACCATCTGCCCCAAATTATGAAAAAGGAAAGTGTTCTCCAATCCACCTGGCAAGTCACTGAAAGAGAGAGGAGCACAGGTGGCTCAGGAAGGCATGTCATTGAAATAGTGCATGTACAAACGGAACCATCATTAATGGGATATCTCAGGACAAATGATTTCCTTGCAGACACAAAGATCTGCCCCATGCCTTTCATCCCCAGTGCAACTCAGAGGGCTCTATGCAGTCATTCTGCAGCCAGAAGCCAAGTGGATGAATTAACTTTGCCTTCCTGAAAGCTGACCCAGGGTACGGAAATATAGAATGGAACCTTGGAATTAGAGGGACTTGTGGAGATGATCTGGTCCCCATCTCGGAAAGGAAATCTACTCAGAATGGGAAGTAATGGCTAGGTACTTGGCAACGTGAGTGTGCCCTTGATGCTGAGATTCCATGTGTACAAATAGCGTTGCTGTCAGAGAGGCTGCATCCACGCGCACCGTCCCACTGTCCCCCTCCTGTCATAACTGGCACTGGTATTTGATGGCTCTCTTCTCCTTACATAGAGGGGAAAAAGATGTTAACTTGAAAACCACTTGTGTCAGTGCTATTTGTGGACAAATCCAAGTTTTCTGTTGCTTACCCAGTGAAGTTATTTCCTTCACATGGAGCCCAAGTTTGCATTTCAGCCATTCTGTCTTGTACTTTACAATCATATCAGTTATGTTAACTCACTTTTCCCCAATACACTCTTTCTTACCATATCCCTCTGCAGAATGTTGTCTCCATGCCCTTCCTCTTTTTATGATTGTCAAAATTGGTCTTACCTGTCAAAAGCCCACTGAAATATCTCCTCCTCTTTGAAGGTTTTTCCTTCCTGAGTGCCTTTTTCCTTCTTGATTCTTCAGTATCTTGAATCTGTAATACAACACATCAGAGTCAAATATGTCCTTTGTTCAAGTTGTCTGCCTCTACCGGTATTTTTTTGTTTCTCTCTCTTAGTGCATAGCTTGGTTTATGGAACATGGTATTGGACCAGTCAGGGTTTGGTAAATTACACTCAATTGACTCATAGTTGCTGGGAGATTGTGTAATATAATGGAAAGAGGACAGGATTCGAAATTGTAACGTCTGTATCCAAATACCATCTTCAACACACTAGTTATGTGATCTGACACAAATTAGTCTTGTTAAACTTCGGACTTTTCATATGTAAAATCTTATTAAAATGTTTAACACACGGATTTATTGTTCAGACGAACCAAAATGCTATTTGCAAAAAAGTGTATTGTAAACTGTAAAGTTCTACACAAATCATTGTTGTTAAAAGCTCCCAGTTGATTTGCGATCATGGTTGACCAAGAATTGTTGCTTCATGGGCCAATATGCAGCTTTATGCTGTTACTTCAAATGAAACAAGCTGGCCGTATCTGCTTCCTCAGACAGACCCCCCACTCACCATATCACAGCTGGATAGAGCTTGCTTTCAGATTCAAAGCCTTTTTATAGCCACTTTGCCCGCAAGCCAACAAAACAGAACACACTCTTCCTACTGCTAATCAATGCCACATGGAGTACAATGAGCAATTAAGCCCAGAAAAAGGAAGAGGACATTGATAATAGAATGCTTGATTACTGAGAGATTAGAACCTGAAATTGTGTTTGCGTTCTCTGTTGGAAGGTATAATTTAATTAGCTAACTTGGAAAGGTTGTAGATGTGACAGAAAACTAATATTCTGCTTCTGCAATTTCATAGCCGTTTTCTTTCAGAAAGAAGAAAAAAAAAGTTTCTGGATGGAGTCTCTAAACATACAGATGTTGGTACCTCCATTTATCTACACCTTGGATCCTGTATTATTATAAGAGCTCTCACCACCCTGGCTCCGACCCTGCCACATCACCAGAGCAAAATCACCCCAGGAGCATGCCAGGTTGGACGCCCCCCTTTCTGCCAATTGCTCTACTAGAACAGAGTTGGGAATGATCTTTCCCTAATTGCTATCACCTGGCTCCAAAGTCAACCATCAGGCTAGCTCTTCCGCACAATAAGGACCTTTTGAGTCTTCACTTCCCTTCGTCTTTCTAAGCCAGTCCTGGATTCTGACAACACGCCTGTTGCAGGTACACTGGGTGGCCTTTGGCTAAAAGCGCAGAGTAAAAGGCCAGCTTTGCTCAACCAAATTCCTATTCACGTGGTGGGAATGGCATAAATCTTTGTTCACACCCCACATGTTAGGACTCTGGGTGGGAAAGGCCGTGGGTAATTTACCTTTCGGGGAGTGGAATGCAAAACCTATCAACTTCCTTGGGGGTTAAAAGCATGAAGTGGCTCACTTCCTGGAAAATTTCACACATAGCAACAAGTTGGCTTTGGAGAGGCTAGTTCCAAATGGCTGTTTCCAAAGGACAGGACCAACAGTCCTCAGCTTCATGGCCAGAGGCCAAGACCCTCATATTCTAGTAGTTCACAGCAACTCCTAGAGAGAAGGAAGAGAGAAGTGGGCTTGAGTTGGGTTCTAAACATTGCTAGCTCATGAACAGGAGAAGAGTCTCGCTGTGGTGCAGCTCTTGCTTATGATTAATCCCATTTTATGGAAAAAAGCATATGGGAAAAGGAGCTGAGAGAACTTTATCCAAACCACCAGCTTTAGGGTATTTCATTGCTTGAGGGTAAACACCAGTAAGGCGTCTTTTGGGGAGCTTACTTAGAGAAGGTATTGGGAAATCCCAAGCTTTCATTATGAAGGCCTGTACAGAAACCCCAGAGGGTTTAATTTAGTTGGCCTTGCCCGTGATGACTGATAAAGATCTCACAGAAATTTTCTGACTCTAGCAAGAATAGTCAGCACTGTCCAGCTATAAGAACATCTAAATAAGGAGATCCATAAAGCAGGGTGGCAGTCGTGGGTTGGGAGTAGGGTTGCCTAAATAGATAGGTAGATAAAATACAGAACACACAGTTAAAATTGGATTTCAGCTAAACAGCAATTTTTATTTTTTAGGATCGGTATGTCCCAAGTACGCATAAGACACAATTTTCCTAAAAACTATTTGTTGCTTACCTGAAATACAGATTTAATAGGGAATCTTACATTTTCAATTGGGAAATCTGACTTCCTTACTTGGGGAAATTCTTCTGTCCCAGAAGGTTGGAGCCTCTTATACTTGTTCTCTATTAACACCTGAGAATGGATTTTATGTCCTGCCCTCATCAACAATCTCGGAGTCACTTAGGGATCAGACTTTCTGGTTTTGGAATCCTAGAGCCCCAATACCAGCTTACAACCTTGGGCAACTTAATTTTTCTGGCTTTGCTTTCTTCATCTATACGATGGGAATAACAATAACTGAGCCTGTCTTATACTGCTGTTGTGAAGATTAAGTTAATACATTTGATGTCTTCTGAACGGTCCTAGGAACACAGTAAATACTCAGTAAATGTTTGTTAAAAAATGTGACTATTTATGATTATTATCATAGCTAAGAGTAGTAAGGAAAAGGACGTTAGTATAGCTGACCATTAGTATTCTTGCACAAGGATACTGACCTCCACATCCCATGACCTTGGCCTACCAACACAAGAGCTTCTAATAACAAACTAAGTCATGGCACCATGAACAGATATTACACGCACATCTGGAAGGAAGCTGGTGCTTCCGTTAAGGCAGCAGCTACTTCTAGTGCAAAAGCAGCTGCACATTGAACAAGAAAATGTAAACTAAAGTCACAGCTGAGAGGACATGGCATGGATGGAGAACAGGGTAATCTAGACTTCTCTTTAACGGTACTATTCATTAACCACCCTTCCAGAAAATCTGAAATACTGAGGTTCTTTTTTACTGTCTTTTAATTAAACGTGTGCAGATGATTGAGTGACTTTCTCAGCCCAGGCTGACCCCAGCAATCTCCACTCTCCCCACCTCAGGTGAGGGTCTCCACTTGCCTTTTGTCTTTACAGCAGCTTCCACTTTATCCATTCCTAAAGCCAACCTGTGTAGGAGGATACACTCTCCCCAGTGTCTTGATTTAATATTATTTCTAAAGATAAGCACATATGGTCTTTGGGCTTTTAAGAATTTTAGATTAACTCTCTAGGGAGGACTGAACAACAGAGCCCTGTCGCAGCGCCACCGTTGAATGACTGGAGCACCAGAGCTGACAGCTGCAATATGGGTCCGTCATCTGTCTCTGTCACCGACCGTGATGTGCTGTGCGGCCTGGCTGGTTAACCAAGCTGGGTCTTAGTTTCTGCACCTGTGAAAGGAGCATAATTCCATTCCTGCCGCTGCCCACCGCAAGGGGTTGTTGTGAACGTCTAATGGAATAATACACGTGGAAGAATGGTGCAGACCAGACACCAAAACGTTGTTGCTTTTATTGTTATGAACTCTCACAGCCTGTGAGAGACTGGAAGCTTGTGTGTGAGACGTTGCCATATGCTCTCTCACACGTTAGATTTGGGGCACTTATTCATTGCGAGAGCAACATTCAAATTAAAATTTTAAATTTGAGAGTGAACTGTGTTGTTTCTGAATCAAATATTTTCATTTCTATGGCCTGAGTGCGATCCAGGATGTTGCCCTTGAGAGAATGCTACTTCCTCTAAGTGGATTTGCCTGGCTCATACAGGGAGATCGGAGTGACAAGTGGCTATACGATAAAGAAGTATAGAATCTCTCTTGGTAAACTTTCCAGTAAGTCTCCCAAGATGATGCTCTAATTTCCTGTGGCCAAGGGTAGCATTCCCCCAAATACCTTCTTTGTCAAAGAATTAATTTAATCTAATTTAAAAAAATTAAAATCAAAATTTTAATTGAAAAAACCAAAGTTTAACTTGATGACTGGTTCACACAGGCTGTCAAAACTTACTTTGCTTCTTCCCTGAGCTGCTGGCTTCACTGACGCCACGAGGGTTTATTTCTTACTCACCTCCCGTTCGCTCTCACCTGTCCCAGAGGACAGCACAGCGGGCTCCTGCCTCTCTCTGTGTCTCTTCAGCTGAGCTGTGCTCAGTCTTTTGTGTCTCTTGGCAAAAACATACAGATAATTTCCAGAACTCTTCTCACATCTGGGAGATGGGAGAGACTGTAGTTTTTGCTTGTTTGTTTGTTTTTTGTTTGATTTTTATGTTGCCAATGCTCTTTTCTTTGAAGAGGCTTATTGATCTCTTTTTGGAGCATTTCCTTTCCTTCTATCTCCTGAAATCTTCTCTCTGTCACTTTCTTATATTGTAATCATGGGAAGAAAGAAGGAAAGGAAGGAAGGAAGGAAGAGAAAGAAAGAAAGAAAGAAAGAAAGAAAGAAAGAAAGAAAGGAAGAAAGGAAGAAAGAAAGGAAGAAAGAGGGAGAAAAGAAAGGAAGGAAAGAAGGAGAGAAGGAGAGAGGGATGGAGGGAAGGAAAGGAGAAAGGAAGACTTGTTGGAAATTTTTGACATTCTTCTGGGGTCACATTTTGAAAAATATTTTATTACTAAAAATTGTATGTATCTAATGTGTACAACATGATGATTTGATGTATACACACATACATACACACACAGTGAAAATATGATTACAGTAAGCTAGTTAGCATATCATTTCCTCACATTATTATCATTTTGTGTGGGTGATGAGAACACCTGAAATCTACTCTCTTAGCAAATTTCTAATATTCGATATGAAGTTATTACCTAGGGTAATCATATTTTGCATTAAATGTCTAGACTTATGCATCCCACACAACTGAGACTTCATACCTTTTGACCAACATCTCCCTATTTCCCCCCTGCTTCCCCCATAACTACCTGTCAATTGTCTGCTTCTAAGTTTTTGGCTTTTTTAAAATTCCTCATGTAATATCATGGAAATATCATGATATTTGTAATATCATGCAGTATTTGTTTTTCCATGCCTGGCTTATTTCACTCAGCATAATGAC